TAATTGAAAAAGGTAGGTATTTAATTATTAATAGTAGTAGTTGGGTAAATATTCAGGTGAAGGACGCACATGTGAGTGAGATCCTGGGCACACGATTCAGGCGAAGGACGCATGCGTGAGATCCTGGGCACACGGTTCAGGCGAAGGACGCACGTGTGAGTGAGATCCTAGGCACACGGTTAAGGCGAAGGACGCACGTGTGAGTGAGATCCTAGGCACACGGTTAAGGCGAAGGACGCACGTGTGAGTGAGATCCTGGGCACACGATTCAGGCGAAGGACGCACGTATGAGTGAGATCCTGGGCACACGGTTTAGGCGAAGGACGCACGTGTGAGTGAGATCCTGGGCACACGATTCAGGCGAAGGACGCACGTGTGAGTGGGATCCTGGGCACACGATTCAGGCGAAGGACGCACGTGTGAGTGAGATCCTGGGCACACGGTTCAAGCGAAGGAAGGACGCACGTGTGAGTGGGATCCTAGGCACACGGTTAAGGCGAAGGACGCACGTGTGAGTGAGATCCCGGGCACACGATTCAGGCGAAGGACGCACGTGTGAGTGAGATCCTGGGCACACAATTCAGGCGAAGGACGCACGTGTGAGTGAGATCCTGGGCACACAATTCAGGCGAAGGACGCACGTGTGAGTGAGATCCTGGGCACACGATTCAGGCGAAGGACGCACGTGTGAGTGAGATCCTGGGCACACACAATTCAGGCGAAGGACGCACGTGTGAGTGGGATCCTGGGCACACGATTCAGGCGAAGGACGCACGAGTGGGATCCTCGGCACACGGGTTCAGGCGAAGGAAGGACGCACGTGTGAGTGAGATCCTGGGCACACGATTCAGGCGAAGGACGCACGTGTGAGTGAGATCCTGGGCACACGGTTCAGGCGAAGGATGCACGTGTGAGTGGGATCCTGGGCACACGGTTCAGGCGAAGGACGCATGCATGAGGGTTGTGTTCTCCCACAATTCAAAAATCAATCCACACTAATTCCTCAAGTTGTAATTGCATATAAGGTGTATGTAAACCCTAAAAATCTACTTTTTTTGGTCCGCTAAATATGCCATGAAAGATATTTTATTGTATTATTTAACAATTATATTCGATGGTCTTCCAGCCAAACTGGATCTGTTTCCTGACAGTGGTAGGGATGGAGGGGCTCGTTCACACTGTGCTGACGGGTATTTTGCAACATGGGGAAAAAAAAGACTCTATTTCATTTTAGAGGAGCTGTTCGCACAGTGGAGGAAAGTGCGCAATGATAACGTTTTGATTGGTTGTCCTGCCATTCATTTTGTTTTAATGACTTTCTTCACAACTGACATTCATGGGAAACTGCCTGGCGATGGGCAGATAACCTAGCAGAGCCACAATTAAAAGTAACGAAGTTCTGAAGAGCTAAAGGCAGTGGCGTCCCTAGGCAGGTGTGAGGGGGGGGGTGCGCCCCGCACCGATTGTCACCGGACCCGCTCCACAAAAAGGTAAACTGTAAAGCAAGCCGACGATCCCCGCAGGATGGATCGGATCTGCGGATTGAGCATAATGGATTGGACCATTATGCGCCCCAATCCGCAGATCCAATCCATCCTGCGGGGATCATCGACTTGCTTTACAACTTACCTTTTCGTGGAGCGGGTCCGGTGTCACCCCGTATAGGTTGCATGCCGACGATCCCTGCAGAATGGATGGGATCTGCGGATTGAGCATAATGGATCGGACGCTAAACCATTATGTGCCCCAATCCGTAGATCCGATCCATCCTGCAAGGATCATCGGCTTGCTTTACAACTTACCTTTTCGTGGAGCGGGGCGGGTGTCACCCCATATAGGTTGCATGCCGACGATCCCCGCAGGATGGATCGGATCTGCGGATTGGGGAGCATAATGGATCGGACTCCAGTCTATTACGCTCATCCCGCAGATCCGATCCATTCTGCGGGGATCGTCGGAGGGGGCTGTCACCAAGTGTTATTGCACCGGATGACACCAACCCTAGGGATGCCCCTGGCTAAAGGGTCAATAGTTTATCAGAGTTTAGAGTTCTGTTGGGTAGTAATTCAGAGTGCAAAGGTTAGTAGTAAGTAACGCCAAGAGCAGGGGTCAGTAGTAAAAAAGAAAGGGTTCAGAGGTCAGTAGTAAGTAACACAGAGTTCAGGGGTCTTTAATAAGGAACATCCAGTGTAGAGGTCAGTAGAAGTAATGCAGAAGTCAGTAGTTTATATTGCACACCATAGAGGTCAGTAGTGTGTAATGCAAAGTGCAGAGGTCAGTAGTATGTAACGCGGAGTGCATGGGGTTAGTAGTATGTAACGCGGAGTGCATGGGGTTAGTAGTATGTAACGCGGAGTGCATGGGGTTAGTAGTATGTAACGCGGAGTGCATGGGGTTAGTAGTATGTAACGCGGAGTGCATGGGGTTAGTAGTATGTAACGCGGAGTGCATGGGGTTAGTAGTATGTAACGCGGAGTGCATGGGGTTAGTAGTATGTAACGCGGAGTGCATGGGGTTAGTAGTATGTAACGCGGAGTGCATGGGGGTTAGTAGTATGTAACGCGGAGTGCATGGGGTTAGTAGTATGTAACGCGGAGTGCATGGGGTTAGTAGTATGTAACGCGGAGTGCATGGGGTTAGTAGTATGTAACGCGGAGTGCATGGGGTTAGTAGTATGTAACGCGGAGTGCATGGGGTTAGTAGTATGTAACGCGGAGTGCATGGGGTTAGTAGTATGTAACGCGGAGTGCATGGGGTTAGTAGTATTATGTAACGCGGAGTGCATAGGGTTAGTATGTATGTAACGCGGAGTGCATGGGGTTAGTAGTATGTAACGCGGAGTGCATGGGGTTAGTAGTAGTATGTAACGCGGAGTGCATGGGGTTAGTAGTATGTAACGCGGAGTGCATGGGGTTAGTAGTATGTAACGCGGAGTGCATGGGGTTAGTAGTATGTAAACGCGTAGTGCATGGGGTTAGTAGTATGTAACGAGGGAGTGCATGGGGTTAGTAGTATGTAACGCGGAGTGCATGGGGTTAGTAGTATGTAACGCGGAGTGCATGGGGTTAGTAGTATGTAACGCGGAGTGCATGGGGTTAGTAGTATGTAACGCGGAGTGCATGGGGTTAGTAGTATGTAACGCGGAGTGCATGGGGTTAGTAGTATGTAACGCGGAGTGCATGGGGTTAGTAGTATGTAACGCGGAGTGCATGGGGTTAGTAGTATGTAACGCGGAGTGCATGGGGTTAGTAGTATGTAACGCGGAGTGCATGGGGTTAGTAGTATGTAACGCGGAGTGCATGGGGTTAGTAGTATGTAACGCGGAGTGCATGGGGTTAGTAGTATGTAACGCGGAGTGCATGGGGTTAGTAGTATGTAACGCGGAGTGCATGGGGTTAGTAGTATGTAACGCGGAGTGCATGGGGTTAGTAGTATGTAACGCGGAGTGCATGGGGTTAGTAGTATGTAACGCGGAGTGCATGGGGTTAGTAGTATGTAACGCGGAGTGCATGGGGTTAGTAGTATGTAACGCGGAGTGCATGGGGTTAGTAGTATGTAACGCGGAGTGCATGGGGTTAGTAGTATGTAACGCGGAGTGCATGGGGTTAGTAGTATGTAACGAGGAGTGCATGGGGTTAGTAGTATGTAACGCGGAGTGCATGGGGTTAGTAGTATGTAACGCGGAGTGCATGGGGTTAGTAGTATGTAACGCGGAGTGCATGGGGTTAGTAGTATGTAACGCGGAGTGCATGGGGTTAGTAGTATGTAACGCGGAGTGCATGGGGTTAGTAGTATGTAACGCGGAGTGCATGGGGTTAGTAGTATGTAACGCGGAGTGCATGGGGTTAGTAGTATGTAACGCGGAGTGCATGGGGTTAGTAGTATGTAACGCGGATGCATGGGGTTAGTAGTATGTAACGCGGAGTGCATGGGGTTAGTAGTATGTAACGCGGAGTGCATGGGGTTAGTAGTATGTAACGCGGAGTGCATGGGGTTAGTAGTATGTAACGCGGAGTGCATGGGGTTAGTAGTATGTAAACGCGGAGTGCATGGGGTTAGTAGTATGTAACGCGGAGTGCATGGGGTTAGTAGTATGTAACGCGGAGTGCATGGGGTTAGTAGTATGTAACGCGGAGTGCATGGGGTTAGTAGTATGTAACGCGGAGTGCATGGGGTTAGTAGTATGTAACGCGGAGTGCATGGGGTTAGTAGTATGTAACGCGGAGTGCATGGGGTTAGTAGTATGTAACGCGGAGTGCATGGGGTTAGTAGTATGTAACGCGGAGTGCATGGGGTTAGTAATATATGTAACGCGGAGTGCATGGGGTTAGTTAGTATGTAACGCGGAGGGCGAGGGTCAGTAGTATGTAACGCGGAGGGCGGGGGCCAGGAGTATGTAACGCGGAGGGCGGGGGCCAGGAGTATGTAACGCGGAGGGCGGGGCCAGGAGTATGTAACGCGGAGGGCGGGGGCCAGGTGTATGTAAAGCGGAGGGCGGGGGCCAGGTGTATGTAAAGCGGAGGGCGGGGGCCAGGTGTATGTAACGCGGAAGGCGGGGGCCAGGAGTATGCAACGCCGAGGGCGGGGGCCAGGAGTATGCAACGCCGAGGGCGGGGGCCAGGAGTATGCAACGCGGAGGGCGGGGGCCAGGCGTATGCAACGCGGAGGGCGGGGGCCAGGCGTATGTAACGCGGAGGGCGGGGGCCAGGCGTATGTAACGCGGAGGGCGGGGGCCAGGCGTATGTAACGCGGAGGGCGGGGGCCAGGAGTATGTAACGCGGAGGGCGGGGGCCAGGAGTATGTAACGCGGAGGGCGGGGGCCAGGAGCATGTAACACGAGGGCAAGGAGTATGTAACGCAGAGGGGCGGGGGCCAGGAGCATGTAACATGGGGGTCAGGTGTATTTAACGCGGGGTTAAAGGTTTTCTTGGAAAATGTTACAGTAATAATTCCAAATGTATGACAGAGTGCTGATTTTATCTTTATGTTCCTCATTTTAGGCCGGTTTGCTTTCTACTCAGTGAGATTCCTCTGATGTCTACATGGTTTTTACTCACATCCACATTCAGGTAACTTCCATTCCTAATATACAGCTGCATTCGGGGTACATACAAGAATCATGTGGATTCCTCTTGAATCTCGGTGTGCTTTGTGTATTTCTTCCAGATCTGTGCAGTAATCCAGTGTGAGACTTCCTGTAGTAGAGACCGCTCACTGCTGTTCTCTCTCCTTGTGCAGGGTGGCTGGTCTTGTCTCCGCCCCCTCCTGTAGTTTTCTGTAGTGGATGCGGTCTGCTGGGTCGGACTCCTCATTACACAGGTCCCTGCAGATTTTTCTTCAGCCTAGGTTCATACGGAGGAACTGACCCTCGCTTCTTGAGCTGGAGGAAATAATCAGTGGATTGCGTGGTGACTTCACCCCGCATGTGCTCCATTGAGGGAGTTTTACCTGCACATGTGTTTCTGTGCTTTGCTGTGCAGGAAGTCCCATTCAGGTCTATTGGGACACAGTGGCTGCACGGACACAGCCGCTGTCGGTGCGCCCACTACGTCTCAGTTGACATGAATGGGACTTCCTGCATTGGGACGCACGGAACATCTGTGCATCCCCCATGCAGGTAAATGCAGCCCTTGGACAGGCTGTAGTACACCTACGTGAACAAGGCCTCGCCCCTAATTGTACTCTTTCATCCTCCTTCCATGTCTTTGCTGCAGGATCCCTATACTGAAGCTGGGAGGACATTCACAGAACTAGCACATCATTTCCTATTGGTGTACTGGCATCTGCGTCTCCTACAGGAAACTCCGCTTGTCCAAAGTGGGCAGAGCCTAGGCATGTCTCACATTTTGATTGACATGCTTGGTATAGAAACAAATCTCACTTCTAGCCACACCCCCTATGATGTTACAGTGTCGCACTGTAGGCCTTTCGAGAACGGAGCGTCACAACATGTGACAGCAATTTGAATAGAGTGTAGATTTGGCACAGTGGGGGAGATTTGCTTAAACTGTTGCCATCAGAATCTGGTGCAGCTGTGCATGGCAGCCAATCAGCTTCTAACTTCAGCTTGTTCAGTTAAGCTCTGACAATAAAATCTGGAAGCTGATTGGTTTCTAAGCCGAGCTACACCAGATTTTGCACTCTCCAGTTTTAGTAAATAACTCCCAGTATGTCTAAATATGACCCAATAGACCTCAGAGCCTGACCACACTGCCCAACGCATTCTGAAATCAAACAGAAGTGGTCAGACCCGCCTCCTCTCTTTCTGCACACTAGTCTTTGAGGACGCTTGCGATGAGGGGCATAGACATTAATCTCTGCCAGCATAGGGCATTGGAGAGGGAGAGCAAGACCTGCATTTCCACAGTGAAACAGGTATTTTAAGGCATTTCAAAGCAAAAATAATAAAAAATAAAGTATGGTGTTACAGGGCTATGAAGAGGAATCACTGTAACGGCTCATGTACACTGCAGCTGATAAACTGACGTTCAGGAGCTTTTCCGCGTTTTTTTTTTTTGACAAGTCAGTAACCCCTGAACTCTCCCTAATGTTTTCCTATGTGTCCATGTACACAACTTTGTTTACAGGCAGTTGAGTTTACAGTCGTTTTTTTAAATGCTGCAAAATTGCGTTGAAGGAGTAGATTTTACCGGAGTTCCAAAAGCTTGTAAACGCGGTTAAACCGCATTTTTAAGCGTTTGCGTTTAAAAGCGGTTTTTGACTGGTCTATATCCAGGGCACAATTCACTATCCGAGTATGCGGTAGGATACTGCATAGCATTTAAAAAAAAAAAAACCCAATTTGAATCCACAAAAAAAAAAGGCTACTAAAATACCGCAGGAGTTATTTTATCAAGTCATGCGCTATTTTAGTAGTGAAAATCATGCATTAATGTTTCAGCTGTCAGCGGGGTTCTCCACTGACAGCTGAATGTAAAAGAAAGAATTGCCGGCAATTAAAAAAATAATTTAAAAAACGGCGTGGAGTCCCCCCTCCCATCCATACCAAGCCCTTCGGGTCTGGTATGGATTTCGAGGGGAAGCCCCACGCCAAAATTTAAAAGAAAATGGTGTGGGGGGGTCCCCCCCAAAATCCATACCAGACCCTTATCTGAGCATGCAGCCCAGCGGGTCAGGAAAGGGGTGAGCCAGCTGAACCATACCAGGCCACATGCCCTCAACATGGGGGGGGGGGGGGGAAGACAAGGGTCTCTTCTCTACAACCCTGGGCTGTGGTTGTGGGTGTCTGCAGGCTTGAGGCTCATCGGAATCTGGAAGCCTCCTTTAGCAAGGGGGTCCCCAGATCCCGCCCCCCCCCCCCCGAACCATACCAGGCCACATGCCCTCAACATGGGGAGGTGCTTTGGGGTAGGGGGAGCTCCTCTCCTCAAAGAACCTTGTCCCCATGGTAATGGGGACAAGGGCCTCTTCCCCACAACCCTGGGCTGTGGTTGTGGGGGTCTGCGGGCGGGGGGGCTCATCGGAATCTGGAATCCCCCTTTAGAAAGGGGGTCCCCAGATCCCGCCCCCCCTCCCCTGAACCATACCAGGCCACATGCCCTCAACATGGGGAGGTGCTTTGAGGTAGGGGGAGAGCTCCCCTCCCCAAAGTACCTTGTCCCCATGTTGATGGGGACAAGGGCCTCTTCCCCACAACCCTGGGCTGTGGTTCTGGGGGTCTGCGGGCCGGGGGCTTATCGAAATCTGGAAGCCCCCTTTAGCAAGGGGGCCTCCAGATCCCGGCCCCCCTGTGAATGAGTATGGGGTACATGGTACCGCTACCCATTCACAAAAAAAAAAAAGCTGTAGTGTGAAAAAAAACAGGAGACATTCTTTGACAAGTCCTTTATTTATTAAAAGAAGGAAAATAAAACAATGTCCCCAGAAGTAGATCCAATATTCATCACGATGCCCGCCGCTGCTGCTCCGAAGAAAGAAAAAAAAATTCATGCACTTACAGGATAACAAAACCAAAGAACAAAATGGAATATATTAAATGTTTCGGCTGCAATACTCTTCTTTTTTTTCTTTTCTTTTTTTTAAGCTAGGAACACTTTCTAACAAGCACAGCACTGCCAATGCAGCGTACGTGTCATTTCCTGTGAGCTGATCTGAAGAATATCTTGGTTACCTTTTGTAAATCACCAATTGCTCTGCCCCCCCCCCCCCCCCAAGTAATGGACGTGATGAGATATGGACTTGTTTGTAGTCCATAGCAGGAGAGCAGGCTAGGGTGACAACCATGGCTCCCTCTCATAGATACAGTGGAGGAATGATCTAGCCAGAACAGGAAGTGTGTTTTTTGCAGGATTACCAGGTGAAGCAAAAGAGACTTGAAAAAAAAGAAAACTAATGCAGCCACCTCACCAAGGACTAGTAAGCTGCAAAATATTAAATTTTTGGTTTTAGGTTTAGTTACACGTTAATACCTGTAGGCTTTTTAACGTAGACCAGAATACAATTAAAGTGATTTATAAAGATATATTTTTTATTTTTTTTGTAATATCATACTTGCCTGCTTTCCTCCTCTCCTGGCTCCTCCTGCCGTCTGAGTACCCCAGGGGTACTGCTGTGTGCTTGATCCCAAGCCGCACTGTATGCGTCTGTTAACACGCACAGTGCAGCACAGGCCCCCCCCCCCACTTCCTCATTACTGGATTTGATTGATGGGAGCAGGAGCCAATGGCACCCACTGCTGTCTGAGTCCAGCGGGGGAGAGAGGGCTGCTGCTCTCAGGCACAGTGCTGGGTCAAGATCTGGCTCAGGTACATATTTAAGGGGGCCTGGGGGGAGCTGCACCTAAAAGGGTTTTTAATACATTAAGGTAAAACGCCTGTAGCCTTTACAATCATTTTAAGGAAATAAAAAATTGACAGATTCTAATCTTTACCACTCTCTCCAAATCGAAATAAAAATCTTTACCCCTGTTATACTTCAATGGCCTTTCCTGAGTTCTGATCTTGTGTTTCTCTGCAGCATGCTGCCGCTCCTGATGAAGGATGGACTCCTCATGGCATACGGAATTACAATGCTAGCGTTCCTTCTGGTGACTGCCACCTGCTTGTCCTTCCTTGAGAAAACCCTCTGAAGATACAATGAAGTTGAAGGCTTTCTGTCTCTCTATAAGAAGATATTTATCCTGGTTTACAGTTCCAGAGAGTCTGCTGCGTCTACTGGTAAGGAGACCTCAGCCCATCAAAAAGTGTTGACAGGGCTGTGGATAAGGGGGTACCACCAGTCCTCCTGTATGGGGCCCAGGCCTGCAGGGGGGCCCAGGCAGCTGGTGAATCGGATGTGGGCAGGAAGCGTGAACAGGGCAATTACTGGAACCAATCTCCTCTGTGGCTCTCTCTGCCACAGAGAGAGCCACATACTATGCACTGATAGAGCTTTTAAGGGCGCCAGCCTCTGAGTAGCTACTTCCACACTCAGGGCTGCTGTTAGAAACCATGGGGCTCCTTACAGCCGACCTAACAGGGCCCCACAAACCACAGGGCCCCATACAGCCAACCTAACAGGGCCCCCTCATCCCCACAAAAAAAAAAACACAGCTTACTAAGCTTCAGTTATGAATGAACACAACAAGTGATTGGTAATGATCACTCATTGTGTTCATTCAGGAATGGAAGTGACTGGTAAATTACTGGAACCGATAGTTACATAGTTATTCTGGCTGAAAAAAGACAAAAGTCCATCTAGTTCAACCATAAAAAAAAAAAAAAAAAGTTATAATCCTACACCCACAGTTGATCCAGAGGAAGGAAAAAACCCAGCAAAGCATGATCCAATTTGCTTCTGCTGGGAAAAAAATTCCTTCCTGATCCCCCGAGAGGCAATCGGATATTCCCTGGATCAGCTTTACCTATAAATGTTATATCCAGTTATATTCTGTGTATCCAAGAAAGAATCCAGGACTTTCCTACAGCAATCCACTGAGCTGTCCAGAATCCAACTCTTGAGGGAGTCTGTTCCACATTTGGACATACACTTGAGCCATTAAAAAAATAGGTAAATTACATCCATTTATTTATTTATTACTCACGCAGGAACAGGAAGAACATGCAAACTCCATGCAGTCCTGACAGGGATATGAACTCAGGACCCCGGTGCAGCAAGGCAGAAGTGCCAACTGCTAAGCCAGTGTTCTATTTTAACACCTTCCTGCCCGGCCTATAGCAGATTGACGGCTGGGCAGGGACAGTCCTTGTTGTAACTTGGCGTCATAAGACGTCCTGTCAAACTGAGCCGCTCACGGGGCCGCGCAGCAGTGCGATCTGTCACCAGCTGTGTCCACGGGTCACTACACTGGCCCGTTGCCAGCGTCATGTGACCGCTGTGACCAATCACAGCAGATCACATGTCAATTGTATACAGCAGATGGCTTCCTGTCATGCCATCCATTGTATACAATTATGTTGTTAGCTGTGACTGGTCAAGGCAGTCACATGATACAGACAGGGCCAATCACAGACCATCTGTATCATGTGATCAGCTTTGCCCAATCAGAGCTCATCACAACAAAAGACTGAACGAATCAGTTTCATTCAGTAACAATGATGGCAAATATCAATGAAATACATCGGTATTAGCAATCATAATGTGTTAAAAAAAAATAAATCCTGATCACTTGCCCAGAGTAGTTCAATTTTACTATGGTAGCATTGTATTGCTTTGGTCATAGTAAAGAAAAAAAAAAAAAAGAAAAAATTTAATAAAAAAAAAAAGTTCATTTATTATTATTTTCACCAAAGAAATGCAGCAGAATACATTTTGACCTAAATTTCTGAAGAAATGTTATTTATTTGCAAAATTTTGAAACAGAAATGAAGAGAAGTGCGTTTTTTTTTTTTTTTTTTCAAAAGTTTTAAGTGTTTTTTGTTTTAGCAAAAAATAAAAAAAACTCAGTGGTGATTAAATGCCACCAAAAAAAAGCTCTATTTGCATGAAAAAAATGATAAAAATTTCATACGGGTACGGTGTTGCATGACCGCACAACTGTCATTCAAAGTGCGACAGCGCTGAAAATTGGCCTGGACAGGAAGGGGGTATAAAGCAGGCCATAGATGGGTCGAGTCAGCCGATTTTCGCACCGTTAATGGGTTAATTGGTCGGCCGTTTTTCTGGATTTTGGCACTTTTTTTCAATTGGTAAAGTTGGAAAAAAATCGTCCGATTTTGCCGATCAGCCGATTTTCACGGCAATGATGGGCAAATCGGCCAGCCGCTCTTTTTACCGATAAAAAATATGCACATGAGCCGTGACCTGCAAGAAGAAGAAAAAGACGAAAGAAGAAGAAGAAGAAAAAGAAGAATTCCAGTCCGCTATTATATTTGACATGAAAAAGTCTTGCAGTTGCAACAATGTATCTATATGTATCCGAATAAAAACCTCTGTATCCGAAATGGATACAAATAGATACATTGTTGCAACTGCAAGACTTTTTCATGTCAAATATAATAGCGGAGCTCTCTGCAAGGGACAGAAGTAATTAAATGCCGGTCATAGACAGGACGGAAATCGGCTGATTTTTTTTTTTTTTTTTACCGTTGGTGGTAACGTCGGCCTATTGAACGACCATTTTTCGTTTTTTTTTGTTTAAAAAATGGCCGGTTTTCGACCCGTCTATGGCCTGCGTAAGTGCCCGGTATTGAAGTGGTTTCAGGCATTTAACGTCTCTAGGAACGTCTGTTTATCTGTAGGTTTTAGGACGTCAAGGCCGGGCAGTGTCACTTTAACTGCACCACTTCAGCAGCTTGTAAAACACCAGGGAGGTGCCAGGCCCAACCATAGAGAACAATGCCTCCCAAGGTGCAATATGTTAAACATTTTAGCTTTTTTTTTGGGGGGGGGGGGGGGGGGGGGGACGACATAATTACATTCATCTGGCAGAGCAGACTACCATGGTCACTGTTAGCTGAGCACACTACAGACATAATGCACTATAGCCCACAGTGTGCACATCCCCTGAAACCTGTGAGCAGCAGCAGTGCCAGGGATCCTGCAGAAGAAGCTTTAGTAAATCATCGGGGGCGCTGAATGCTTCTTGGATGATGTGTGAAATGCCTGAAGGTCATTGGAGAGCGTATATATGACACGGCTAAATCTGCCTCATGAGTGCTATATATTTAAATCAGAAGTATGTGTGATGTGTAAATGCTCCGGGTTTAACCCCCTCACTCCAGGCGCTGATTTTGCCACCGCAAGATCAACAGTTGTCCATCGGCAGCACAGTGGCTAAATGGTTAGCACTTCCGCCTGGCAGTACTAGGGTCATTGGTTCGAATCCCAGCCATGGCACCACCTGCCTGGAGTTTGCATGTTCTCCCTGTGCCTGCGTGGGTTTCCTCCCACACTCCAAAGACATGCTGGTAGGTTAATTGGATCCTGTCCTAAATTGTCCCTAGTATGTGTATGTATGTATGAATGTGAGTTAGGGACCTTAGATTGTACGCCCCTTGAGGGTTAGGGACTGATGTGAATGTACAATATATATGTAAAGTGCTGCGTAAATTGACGGCGCAATATAAGAACCTGAAATAAATAATAATACATAAATAATTTAGCCGAGTCTGCATTCGTGGCGTTATTTAAGCCAATAAACTGATACCGGTTTTTGTTTTGTTCTTCTCTCCACAGCTCCTCCTTTCCTTGTTGGCGATGGCCGCCCTGACCATAGGAAGCTGTGCCTTGACTCCGCCTCCTACGCTCCCTGACGTTTTCCCAGTGCTCATCATCTTGTCTCCTGCGCCCACTTCCTAATGTTCTTTTTTCTACTTTAATATTGTTCATCTATGGGACAGAGCAAATGAGCAGAGCAAGAAGAAAACATATTAAATATTCTTTTTCTTTTTTTTCCTTTTTTTGCAAATATTCATTTTTGGAGAATTATTGTTGTGTCTCCAGGGACCAGTAAAAAAACATTTATTTTTTTTGGTGTAAGGTGTTTTTGGGGGGGGGGGGTTGTTTTTCTTTTACTAGGAGACAACAGTGTTGTAATTTTTTTTTTTTTATTGGTTCCGGAATTTTTATGGGGGAGGGGGTAAGGTTGTTTTGTTTTTTTTTTGGGGGGGGGGTTGTTTTTCTTTTACTAGAAATATACAAGAGACAACAGTGGAGTTGTAATTTGAAGTTCTATATTTTATTGGTCCGGAATTTTTATGACAATATTTTTTGCAAACCAGTAAAAAAAATATATTTAGTTTTTGAGGGCTTTTTTGGTGTAAGGTGTTTTTGTTTTGTTTTTTTTGGGGGGGGGTTGTTTTTCTTTTACTAGAAATATACAAGAGACAACAGTTGAGTTGTAATTTGAAGTTCTATATTTTATTGGTCTGGAATGTTTATGACAATATTTTTTGCAAACCTGTAAAAAATCATTTACTTAGTTTTTGAGGGCTTTTTTTTGGTGGAAGGTGGTTTTTTTTTGGGGGGGGGGGGGGTTTCTTTTACTAGAAATATACAAGAGACAACAGTTGAGTTATAATTTGAAGTTTTATATTTTATTGGTCTGGAATTTTTATGACAATATTTTTTGCAAACCTGTAAAAAAAAAACATTTACTTAATTTTTGAGGGCTTTCTTGGTGTTAGGGTTTTTTGTTTTTTTTTTTGGGGGGGGGGGGGGGGGTTCATTTACTAGAAATATACAAGAGACAACAGTTGAGTTGTAATTTGAAGTTTTATATTTTATTGGTCTGAAATTTTATGACAATATTTTTTGCAACCCTGTAAAAAAAAATATACTTAGTTTTTGAGGGCTTTTTTGGTGTAAGGTGTTTTTTTTTTTTTTTTGGGGGGGGGGTTGTTTTTCTTTTACTAGACAATGTTTATGACAATATTTTTTTTTATTGGTGTAGGGTTTTTTTTTTTTTTTTTTAGCCCGTAACTTTTACTAGAAGTATACAAGAGAACAACAGTTGAGTTATAATTAGAAGTTTTATATTTTATTGGTCTGGAATTTCTGACAATATCTTTTGCAAACCTGTACATACATTTTTTGGTTTTTATGGTGTTTTGTTTTTTTTGTTAATACTATTGGTTTATCCACTGGAAAAAAACACTATCTTTTTTTTTTTTTCAG